GGCTTTGTTTTTGTTGTACAAGATTGCTTTAGCTATTCGTCAACTCCTTTTCTTTAGCAGTTTTGTTTTGTTCTGTTCACCTTCTAGGCTCAATATATTTTCTACTATCTGTTAATAATATGTCCATCAAAAATGTTGGTTATTAATGACAAATATTCAGATATGTAGGCTGAAGGTCATGGAACAAGTATGACAAATAAACTGAAAACATTTTGGATCAAACCTTAAAAAGAAGTGACAAAAATGCAAATAATTACAAGTTGGAGGTGCAGAGGATTTAGTAATTGTTTTTGGATCAGTGAGAGACATATGTCAGTTGATTCAGTTGAAGAATCATTCAGATTTAATTGGCAATTATTTAATTCAAGTGCTATAAATAAAATAGGGGGGTTTGTCAGCATCTATGCAATCTAGATTTTTTTTAAAGATTTATTTTGTTTATTAGACAGAGTTACAGAGAGAGGTAGAAACAGAGAGGTCTTCCATCTGCTGGTTCACTCCTCAGATGGCCGGAGCTGCACCTATCCGAAGCCAGGAGCCAGGAGCCTCTTCTGGGTCTCCCACGGGGGTGCAGGGGCCCAAGGACTTGGGCCATCTTCTACTGCACTGCTACCCCGGGCCATAGCAGAGAGCTGGATTGGAAGAGGAGCAGTCGAGACACGAACCAGCGCCCATATGGGATGCTGGCGCTTCCGGCCAGGGCGTTAACCTGCTGTGTCACAGCACTGGCCCCACAATCTAGATTTAAAGAAGTGCTTTCTTCAATATACAAAATTTGATTTGAATTGACTGTTTTTCTAAATTATTTATTTTTTCTTAGTACCAATGGGCTATAACATATGTACAGTTTAACATATAGAAGTATGTAATCTGTACCTGTTAATGTATTTTTAAAAAAATGCCTCATAGATATCTGTGTTCCTCCTGAAAAATCCCTTAATTTAATGTGTTGATTACAGATGAAATTTTAGATTTCTTTTAGTTCTTTTTTGTACTTCCTAGACTATATTCACAATATAAGCTTTCTGTGTTTTAAAGATTTGCTTTTGAGACTCACTTTTCATTCATGTGTCAGGCACTCTTCAATTTTTTTGTATTCAGGTTAAGCTGTCTTTGATTCCTGGCTCTGTTTTGCAATAATTATGATTTTCTTTTTTTTTTTAAGATTTATTTATTTATTTATTTATTTGAAAGTCAGGGTTACACACAGAGAGAAGGAGAGACAGAGAGAGAGGGGTCTTCCATCTGCTGCTTTACTCCCCACTTGGCTGCAACGGCTGGCGCTTTGCCGATCCAAAGTCAGGAGCCAGGAGCTTCTTCTGGGTCTTTCACATAGGTACAGGGGCCCAAGGACTTGGGCCATCTTCCACTGCTTTCCCAGACCATAGCAGAGAGCTGGATCAGAAGTGGAGCAGCCGGGTCTCTAACTGGCACCCATATGGGATGCCGGCATTGCAGGCGGCAGCTTTACCCTCTGTGCCACAGCGCCAGCCCTATAACTATGATTTTGATTGTTAGTTTCTTATCCTTGTTTTTCTTTTTTTTAATAAGCCAGGCAAAAATAACCATTCTGATGTTTCAAGAATATTTGTGTTAGAGAGTACTTAAAATTACTATTTATATCCTACATGTTGGTGGTCACTGTTACCATGAACATGATTAGAGACAACTTCTGGTATTTTTCAAAATGTAATGAATTATGGTTGAGATAAAGATCCCAATCTAAAATAATTCGTGATACAGAGAAATTCATATACATAAACAATAATCATGAAGAAAATTCAAGAGAAAAAATAAATTGGTTATAGGGTGAGGAAGTGAATGTTTCCTGAGAAGTGACTTACTAATAATGATCTGTTCACTTGATCCTATCAGTAATGATGTTATAGAAATTTTCTTTGTTTTTTTTAAAGATTTATTTTATTTATTTGAAAGACACAGTTACAGAGAGAGGTAGAAACAGAGAGAGAGAGGTCTTTCATCTGCTGGTTCACTTCCCAGATGGCTCCTATGCCTGGAGCTGTGCCGATCTGAAGCTAGGAGCCAGAAACTTTCCCTGGGTCTACTACGTGGGTGCAGGAGCCCAAGGACTTGGGCCATCTTCTACTGCTTTCCCAGGCCATAGCAGAGAGCTGGATCGGAAGAGGAGCAGCCAGGACTAGAACTGGCACCCATATGAGATGATGGCGCCTTAGGCCAGGGCTTTAACCTGCTGTGCCACTGCGCCAGCCCCAATAGAAATTTTCTTTCGTTAACATTGGGTGTTTTTGGGGGCCAGCACTGTGGTGCAGCGGGTTAATGGGGTGCCTGAAGTACCAGCATCCCATATGGGTCCTAGTTTGAGACCCGGCTGCTCCAATTCTGATCTAGATCTCTACTGTGGCTTGGGAAATCAGTAAAAGATATCCCAAGTCCTTAGGCCCCTACAACTACCTGGCTTCAGATTGGCGCAGCTCTGGCCATTGTGGCCAATTTTGGAGTGAACCAGCAGATGGAAGACCTCTCTCTCTCTGCCTCTCCTTCTCTCTCTGTGTAACTCTGACTTTCAAATAAATAAAAAAATCTTAAAAAGAAATTGGTTTTTTTAAAAAAGTTTTAAGCATTTTATTTCATAATAGTTTTAAATTTACAAAACAACAATTGTGAAGTAGTAATACAGAGTTTCCATATACTCCTCACCCCATTTTTCCTATTAACATCCCATATTAGCATTTTTGTGAAAATATTTTTTGTTTTTTCTCACTTAAAAAAAAAGATTTATTTATTTGAATGGCAGAGTTACAAAGACAGAGGGCGAGACAAGGGAGAGAGATCTTTCATCTGCTGATTCACTCCCCAAATGGCTGCACTGGCCAAAGTCGGGCAAGACTGAAGCCAGGAACCAGAGGCTGAATCTGGGTCTCCCAAGTGATTGGCAGGGACCAAGTACTTGGATCATGTTCAGCTGCTTCCATAGGCACATTAGCAGGAAGCTGGATCAGAAGTGGAGCAGCTGGGACTTGAACCATCTCTTATATGGGATGTTGGTATTGCAGGCTGTAGCTTAACCTCATGAGCCACAATGCTTGTCCCATTTTTTTCCCCCAACTTCTTTTTTTTTGGACAGGCAGATTTAGACAGAGAGAGAAAAGAGAGAGAGAGAAAGAGAGAAAGGTGTTCCTTCTGCTGGTTCACCCCCCAAACGGCTGCTATGGCCGGCGCGCTGCGCTGATCCGAAGCCAGGAGCCAGGTGCTTCCTCCTGGTCTCCCATGCAGGTGCAGGGCCCAAGGACTTGGGCCATCCTCCACTGCCCTCCTGGCCCACAGCAGAGAGCTAGACTGGAAGAGGAGCAACCAGGACAGAATCCGGCACCTCAACTGGGACTAGAACCCAGGTTGCCAGCACTGCAGGCAGAGGATTAGCCTAGTGAGCCATGGCGCTGGCCCCCCTAACTTCCTAAGGTGAAAGCTGACCTCATTGATTTGAGGTTTCTCTTGGTTTCTTCTTCCTTTTTTTTTTCCCTTAAGATTTGTTTATTTACTTGAGTTACAGAGAGAGGAGAGACAGAGAGAGAGGGAGAGGTCTTCCATTTGCTGGTTCACTCTCCAGATGGCTGCAATGGCCGGAGCTGTGCCAATCCAAAGCCAGGAGCTTCTTTCAGGTCTCCCACACAGGTGCAGGGGCCCAAGGACTTGGGCCATCTTCTGCTTTGCCAGGCCGTAGCAGAGAGCTGGATCGGAAGTGGAGCAGCTGGGACACGAACTGGCACCCAAATGGGATGCTGGCACTGCAGGTGGCGGCTTTACCTGCTACCCTATAGTGCCGGCCTCTCTCTTGTTTTCTAATACTGGTCTTTAGTGCTATGATTTTCCCTCTAAGTTCTACTTTAGTAGTATCCCACAAATTCTGATGTATTGCTTTTCTGTTTTATTTCAGTTAAAAACAGATCCTAATTTTCTTTTTTTTATTGTGTTGATGATTCATGTGTTATTTAGAAGTGCCCTATTTAGCCTCCAAATACTTGAAATTCTCTCAGAAATCTGTTACTGATTTCTAATTCAATCCATGTTTGTGGATTTATGTTACTATATCAATGCTGTTTGTTACTATAGCCTTTTTTAAGTTCACAGAGACTTACGTTATTATCCAGAATATCATCTGTTTTGATAGATGTTCTGTGTACACTTGAGAAGAATATCCAACTGCTGTTGTTGAGTGAAATTTTTATCAATATTAGGTCATATTGGTTGATAATGTATTCAGTCTTATTACACTTACCTGTGTTCCAGGCATGTGTTCTGAGGATTAAGTGGGATAATTCTAGTAGGTAGATAATGTCTGACTATTGTAACATGAAAACATAAAGCCTAGAGAGAACACAGGAAGATTAAATAACATGCCCAGGATTAAATGGATGGGGGTGAAATTTTACTATGGTTTTTTTGAGTGTATAGCCGAAATTCTTAACCATCATGCCTTTCTGTGTCTGTGATTTAGTAGGCCACACCAGATTTTGGTCCTGTATACAGCTTTGTCCTCACAGCTTTGTGAGGATTTTCAGCAAGAACATAAATATGTAAATATGATTTGGCTTTAAAAGCATCAATAAAAAATTATTTTATGTTTGGGGAGGTGTGGAGAATGAAGAGTAGGACTAGAAATAGATAGAAAAATGCTACATATTCTATGTAGTGAGAATGCTAATTTTTAATGTGAAGGTAGTTTACTTAGCCTTTTTGTGGTTTAGCTTCATAGTCTTTTAAATGAAAATGATGGTCCCCACCTTATAGGAGTGTAAAACGTGATCAGATTATATGGAGTTACACATAGCAGGTATTTGTTAAACTTTAGCTGCGATAATGGTAATAGATTATTTTTGCAGGTCTAGCTTAAAGTTTAATTGCTTCTTTCTTTATTTTTAAATATGTTTTGGCATAGAACTTAAAGATAAGACTTTAGGATGATGAAGTACAATAAAACCTTAACTTTGAATTCCCTATTTTTTATTTTGACCCTTCAGTTTATGGGAAAAGCAGATGGAGATTACTACACTTTAGATGACATGTTTGTCTCCAGAGCAGCTGAGAGAGGACGTCTTGGTGAAGAGGAAGAGAATCAGAGGAAAAGAGCTATTGCGGAGCATCAGAGTCTTGCTGCACAAATGGAAAAATGTCTGTATTGTTTTGACAGCTCTCAGTTTCCCAAGCACCTTATTGTTGCCATAGGTGTTAAGGTAATAAATATCACATTTTCTGACCTAAGGAAAAGATTTATTCATGTGCATAGATTTGCTTCAGTCTTTATACTGTTATAAGATACCTGGATAATCTGCTTTTTTCAAATATTTATCCCAAGTTCCAGTGATTGTTAGAATCATCTATGATTTGAGCCATAATAGCACATTTCTTTTGTGATTCTTCTTTTTAGAGAGACATCATTGGGTAATGGTGAAGCCGTGGACTTTGGAATCCAGGTTTGATGGATTCCAGCTCTGACTGCTGTTTACCAGCAGTATGACCTTATTTTTATGATTAATACTTGATTCTCAACATTAAAATCACCTATGTCAATCTAAATTAGCTTCTGTCTGCTTACTTTCTCAAAGGACCTCTTTGTTTAACGGATATCTCATAATTTGAACAAATTTATTATATGTCTTTGTTTTACTTGTTTCTTGGGTTTCTCTTCTAATACTCTTTAAGCTGCACAAAAACAGAAGTAACTTTTGCTTACTCTTGTATACCAAACATCTAGCTTTTTTCATAGTAAATAGTACTCATTTATTTCAATAAATTTTTATCGACTTAACTGTTTCAATAAGTAAGTAATTTTTGTGTACATGATATATGCCAAAAACTAATTTGCTACTGGAGAAAAGGTGTGAGGATTAGAAAGACTTTTGGAATTTGTATTCTAGTGAAATAGAGCAGAAAACAAAGTAATAATTACTCTGATATTGAAGTATTAATTGTCTCACATGCAAATAAAGTGAGAAAATGAGATAAAATTATGAGGGAGTATTTTTTTATAAGGTGGCCTAGAAAATGCCTCTGAGATATTTTAGTAAATTATGTATGATGGGAGGGAGCAAGAAATTTGAAGGTATAAATGAATGATGTTTCAGGAGGGGTATCAGTGTGTAAAAACGTATGAAGAAGAAATGATTGGCATTCATGGAGCAGTGAAAGAAAGTAGTGAGAAAGTGATAGTAGAAAAGATTAAATAGTGAATGCCAGTTTCAGGAGCTAATGAATTAGTGAATATACAGTGCATATTTATTATTATTATTTTAAAGATTTATTTATTTGAGAGGCAGAGTTACAGAGAGGCAGAGAGAGAGAGAGAGAGAGAGAGAAAGAGAAAGAGAAAGGGTCTTTCATCCCTTCCATCCAGTGGTTCACTCCCCAGATGGCTGCAACGGCCGGAGCTGGGCCGATCTGAAGCCTGGAGCCAGGAGTATCTTCTGGGTTTCCCACATGGGTGCAGGGGCCAAGGACTTGGGCCATCTTCCACTGCTTTCCCAGGCCACAGCAGAGAGCTGGAGTGGAGCAGCCAGGGCTCAAACTGGCGCCCATATGGGATGCTGGCACTGCAGGCGGTGGCATTTTTTGCTAAGCCACAGTGCCGGCCCTGTACATATTTTTATTTTTGTTGTTTATGTACATTTGCATTCATACATAATATGTAATCTTACTATCTTTAGATCATTAAAGTAGTCAGTTTATCAATTTGATTTCTTTTGCTTCATTTTTTACCCTTGTTTTTTTCAATTTTCTTTCACTCCATAAGTTATCTCAAAGGTAAATGTAAAAACTTCACTAAATATGTAACCAATTTTTAAAAAGGAAAAACCCATCTTAGCCAATTGCCTATATTAATTTTTTAAAGTTCTTTTTTTTTTTTGAATCTAATAAACCATTCTGTATTTTTCCTGTGTTCTAAAGGATGCTGCTTCAATAAACTTAGTAGTTTTAGAGAGATCATAACAATGTTTGCCCATATGTAATATCCATATTCATAATTAATTTGATGATGATGTGTTGGTTTCATCCAAATGAACCTTGAAAATGTCAGTGAATTTCGGCTAAGATACCCAAGATGCATAGCATAGATTGTTGATTCAGAAAGTAAAACATACCTGAACTTACTGACTCATTGACACATTGTACCTTTTTTTTTTTTTAACTTTTATTTAATGAATATAAATTTCCAAAGTACGATTTATGGATTACAATGGCTTCCCCCACATAGCGTCCCTCCCACCTACTACCCTCCCCTTTCCCACTCCCTCTCCCCTTCCATTCACATCAAGATTCATTTTCGATTATCTTAATATACAGAAGATCAGCTTAGTATACATTAAGCATGAATTTCAACAGTTTGCTCCCACACAGAAACATAAAGTGAAAAATAATAGATGATTTTTTTTAAATGATGATGAAATCAGATCAGACCTATTGTCATGTTTAATCCCAGTGAGAGTCAAGTTGGGAATTGATAGTTTCTTTTCTTTTTTTTTTTTTTAACAGAAGATCAGTTTAGTGTACATTAAGTAAAGATTTCAACAGTTTGCACCCCCATAGAAACACAAAGTGAAATATACTGTTTGAGTACTCGTTATAGCATTAAGCCTCAGTGTACAGCACATTAAGGACAGAGATCCTACATGAGGAGTAAGTGCACAGTGACTCCTGTTGTTGACTTTACAAATTGACACTCCTGTTTATGGCATCAGTAATCTCCCTATGCACCAGTCATGAGTTTCCAAGGCTATGGAAGCCCCTTGAGTTCTCCGACTCTTATCTTGTTTAGACAAGGTCATAGTCAAAGTGGAGGTTCTCTCCTCCCTTCAGAGAAAGGTACCTCCTTCTTTGAAGACCTGTTCTTTCCACTGGGATCTCACTCACAGAGACTTTCATTTAGTTTTTTGTTTTTGTTTTTTTTTTTTTTTTTGCCTGAGTGTCTTGGCTTTCCATGCCTGAAATACTCTCATGGGCTTTTCAGCCAGATCCGAATGCCTTTAGGGCTGATTCTGAGGCCAGAGTGCTGTTTAGGACATCCGCCATTCTATGAGTCTGCTGAGTATCTCGCTTCCCATGTTGGATCACTCTCCCGTTTATTTATTCTATCAGTTAGTATTAGCAGGTACTAGACTTGTTTATGTGCTCCCTTTGACTCTTTTTTTTTTTTTTTTATCTTTTATTTAATGAATATAAATTTCCAAAGTACGTCTCATGGGTTACAATGGCTTTCCCCCCCATACCGTCCCTCCCACCCACCACCCACCACCCTCCCCTTTCCCACTCCCTCTCCTCTTCCATTCACATCAAGATTCATTTTCGATTATCTTAGTATACAGAAGATCAGCTTAGTATACCTTAAGTAAGGATTTCAACAGTTTGTTCCCACACAGAAACATAAAGTGAAAAATAATAGATGATTTTTTTTTAAATGATGATGAAATCAGATCAGACCTATTGTCATGTTTAATCCCAGTGAGAGTCAAGTTGGGAATTGATAGTTTCTTTTCTTTTTTTTTTTTTTAACAGAAGATCAGTTTAGTGTACATTAAGTAAAGATTTCAACAGTTTGCACCCCCATAGAAACACAAAGTGAAATATACTGTTTGAGTACTCGTTATAGCATTAAGCCTCAGTGTACAGCACATTAAGGACAGAGATCCTACATGAGGAGTAAGTGCACAGTGACTCCTGTTGTTGACTTTACCAACTGACACTCCTGTTTATGGCATCAGTAATCTCCCTATGCACCAGTCATGAGTTTCCAAGGCTATGGAAGCCCCTTGAGTTCTCCGACTCTTATCTTGTTTAGATAAGGTCATAGTCAAAGTGGAGGTTCTCTCCTCCCTTCAGAGAAAGGCACCTCCCTCTTTGAAGACCTGTTCTTTCCACTGGGATCTCACTCGCAGAGATCTTTTGCCAGAGTGTCTTGGCTTTCCATGCCTGAAATACTCTCATGGGCTTTTCAGCCAGATCCGATTGCCTTTAGGGCTGATTCTAAGGCCAGAGTGCTATTTAGGACATCTGCCATTCTATGAGTCTGCTGAGTATCTCACTTCCCATGTTGGATCACTCTCCCCTTTATTTATTCTATCGGTTAGTGTTAGCAGATACTAGACTTGTTTATGTGCTCCCTTTGACTCTTAGTCCTTTCATTATGATCAATTGTGAACTGAAATTGATCACTTGGAATAGTGAGATGGCATTGGTACATGCCACCTTGATGGGATTGAATTGGAATCCCCTGGTATGTTTTTAACTCTACCATTTGGGGCAAGTCAGCTTGAGCATGTCCCAAATTATACATCTCTTTTCAAGACTTTCATAATTTCCATATATATATCACATATGTATTACTACCATATAGATCTCTCACATTTATATATATATTTTATATTTCTTTATTCTGTTCCATATAAGAATAAATTAAACCTCTAATAACACTTAAATTTTTCCTGTTGTGCACTGGGAAATGTTTGAGACTGTAGTCCAGTGGTGTTTCCCTGGGAACCAGCTTCCATATGGGATGCTGGCGTTACACGCTGGAGCTTTAAGTCCTGCGCCACAGTTCTGGTCCCTCCAGTATAAATTTAAGTAGGCACTCTTTCTTTGTTCACAGCAGAGTTTTAAAACTGCCCACTATTTTATAAAATAATTATCTGCCATATAAAATATTTCCAACTACAATTTAACAAAAATAATAGAAAAAACATCCTTTTGCAGGAAGTTATTTATGCTCCTTAGGAGATCTTTTGTCCATTCTCCTTTTTTAAAAGACAGTTTGTATTTAGTGGGAAAAGTAGCACCAGTTTTAAGTAATACATGTATGGAAATAAAAAGAGCTTAACTCTAGCAGTGAAGTCACCGTGAGATCATTTCCTCTCTGTTGGCTAGGTTTTCTTTTCTCAGCTTGTGAGAGGTAAAAGGTCTGATTAATAGTCCATCGATTAGAGCACTCTGCCATTACCAGGCCATGCCATGTATCTTTGCAGTCTTGTGAAACTGTGTTAAGGGCTTTCAAAGTATATACTTTCTTTAGATCAAGGATGTAGTATCATTTATTTTTCCTTCCTTGGATAATCTTTATATGTAGCAGTGAAAATTGCAACTTATATTCTGAATTTCCAGTTTATTAAAAACCATTTTTATGGCTTTTAAAATAGTTATAAAAATTAAATCTTTTTTTAAAATAGTTATGATAAACGTTTTCTTCTAAGCAAGTGTACTGTGTTAATTATTAGCTACAAGTGTGAGTAAATTACAGTAGCATTTCAACTTTAAAATTTTTTCCCGATAGGTTTATTTGTGTTTACCCAACTTCCAGTCTCTTACTGAGGGGCACTGCCTGATAGTCCCTTTGCAGCACCATAGAGCAGCCACATTACTAGATGAGGACATCTGGGAGGAAATTCAGGTAAGCATGAAAATGTCATTGTCATTTTAAAGCCCATGAGCAGTTTTTATAAACTAGTGTGGTAGAGTCCAGCAGGGTCTGTATTTTCATTCAATAATTTTACCTTCTGATTTAAACATTTTTGTAGTTGTCTGTATCTGCAGATCATGTTTCCAGCGTTCACTATCTCTTAGTTTTATTTCCCATAAGTACTCTGCATTTTGAAAACTTTTGTTTCTAAACTGTAACACAATATGAATTATTTTTACATCAAAATGTTAGCCTAAGATTTCTGACCATGGGTTTGTGTAGCATGAAATACTAATTTATCAAAGTAAGTTAACAAATCGCAACCAGAAGGGTAAAGAAATTCAGATAATGAAAAGAAATTTTGGGAGTTAGATGCTTGTATTCAGCAGTTGCCTTGTTGTTTTGTGATGGAACTGGCCTCTTCCACTGTTATGATTTTGTGGTTGTTTTGTTACTTGCTTTATTTCTGCTCTTTTTCCATCATAACCTAGTTTAGCTTTTGTATTTAGGGATTTGTTTTTGTGGCTTGTTGGTCAGGAGGTTGAAAGGTGCAACATGTTGCTGAGTTATTTCAAGACCTTATAATGACCAAAAGAGAAAGGGAGAAAGAAAACTTTCTAATGTCTGAAAACTGAATAGAAGTTACAGGGAATCCTAGTCAGAAAATGTGAGAATTGTAAAATTTCAAAGGACACTGTAGGGAGGCCAGTGCTGTGGCATAGTGGGTAAAGCCCCCGCCTGCAGTGCTGGCATCCATATCGGTGCTGGTTCGAGTCCCAGCTGCTCGACTCCCGATCCAGCTCTCTGCTATGGCCTGGGGAAGCAATAGAAGATGGCCCAAATCTTTGGGCCCCTGCACCCACTTGGGAGTCCCAGAAGAAGCTCCTGGCTTCTGATTTCGGATCAGTGCAGTTCTGGCCATTGTGGCCATCTGGGGAGTGAACAAGCGAATGAAAGACTTCTCTCTCTTTCTCTCTTTGCCTCTGCCTCTATGTAACTCTGCCTGTCAAGTAAACAAATAAATTAAAAAAAAAAAAAAGAGACACTGTAGTAGATACTAGTCTGATAAACATGCCAACAGAGGAGATATTTTGGCTGTATTTGATGAAATTTAGTATCTTACTACTTGTACTTTTAATCTTGTGAAAGTTAAAAAGGCAGATTTTTATTGTTTTATTGTGGAAAGCCAGGTAGGAATGAGGACAAACACTAGTTGATTTGAAAAAAAAAAAATTGTTTTCTCAAATAGTAGATGTCAGTGCCATGAGGTAATTTAAGATAAGAAATACAGAAATTTAGTTGTTAGAATCATTTTAGAATTTTTCTGAGATGCTTTTAAATTTTTTTTTTTATCTTTTATTTAATGAATATAAATTTCCAAAGTACGTCTCATGGGTTACAATGGCTTTCCCCCCCATACCGTCCCTCCCACCCACCACCCTCCCCTTTCCCACTCCCTCTCCCCTTCCCTTCACATCAAGATTCATTTTCGATTATCTTAGTATACAGAAGATCAGTTTAGTGTACATTAAGTAAAGATTTCAATCGTTTGCACCCCCATAGAAACACAAAGTGAAATATACTGTTTGAGTACTCGTTATAGCATTAAGCCTCAGTGTACAGCACATTAAGGACAGAGATCCTACATGAGGAGTAAGTGCACAGTGACTCCTGTTGTTGACTTTACCAATTGACACTCCTGTCTATGGCATCAGTAGTCTCCCTATGCACCAGTCATGAGTTTCCAAGGCTATGGAAGCCCCTTGAGTTCTCCGACTCTTATCTTGTTTAGACAAGGTCATAGTCAAAGTGGAGGTTCTCTCCTCCCTTCAGAGAAAGGCACCTCCCTCTTTGAAGACCTGTTCTTTCCACTGGGATCTCACTCACAGAGATCTTTTTGCCAGAGTGTCTTGGCTTTCCATGCCTGAAATACTCTCATGGGCTTTTCAGCCATATCCGAGTGCCTTTAGGGCTGATTCTGAGGCCAGAGTGCTATTTAGGACATCTGCCATTCTATGAGTCTGCTGAGTATCTCACTTCCCATGTTGGATCACTCTCCCCTTTATTTATTCTATCGGTTAGTGTTAGCAGATACTAGACTTGTTTATGTGCTCCCTTTGACTCTTAGTCCTTTCATTATGATCAATTGTGAACTGAAATTGATCACTTGGAATAGTGAGATGGCATTGGCACATGCCACCTTGATGGGATTGAATTGGAATCCCCTAGTATGTTTCCAACTCTACCAATTGGGGCAAGTCAGCCCGAGCATGCCCCAAATTATACATCTCTTCCCTCTCTTATTCCCACTTTTATGTTTAACAGGGATCACATTTCAGTTAATTTTCAACACTTAAGAATAACTGTGTGATAATTACAGAATTAAACCAGTCATATTAAGTAGAACAGACAAAAAAAAAATACTATGAGGGATAATGTATTAAGTTGTCCATTAGCAGTCAGGGCTATGCTGATCAAGTCACCATTTCTCATAGTGTCCATTTCACTTCAGGAGGTTTCCTTTTTGGTGTTCAGTCAGTTGTCACCGATCAGGGAGAACATATGGTATTTGTCCCTTTGGGACTGGCTTACTTCACTCAGCATGATGTGTTCCAGATTCCTCCATTTTGTTGCAAATGACTGGATTTCGTTGTTTCTTACTGCGGTATAGTATTCTAAAGAATACATATCCCATAATTTCTTTATCCAGTCTACCATTGATGGGCATTTAGGTTGGTTCCAGGTCTTGGCTATTGTGAATTGTGCTGCAATAAACATTAGGGTGCAGACCGCTTTTTTTCTTTATCAATTTAAACTCCTTTGGGTAAATTCCAAGGAGTGGGATGGCTGGGTCGAACGGTAGGGTTATATTCAGGTTTCTGAGGAATCTCCAGACTGATTTCCATAGTGGCTTGACCAGTTTGCATTCCCACCAACAGTGGGTTAGTGTCCCTTTTTCCCCACATCCTCGCCAGCATCTGTTGTTGGTAGATTTCTGTATGTGAGCCATTCTAACTGGGGTGAGGTGAAACCTCATTGTGGTTTTGATTTGCATTTCCCTGATTGCTAGTGACCTTGAACATTTTTTCATGTGCCTGTTGGCCATTTGGATTTCCTCTTTTGAAAAATGTCTATTGAGGTCCTTGGCCCATCTCTTAAGTGGGTTGTTGGTTTTGTTTTTGTGGAGTTTCTTGATCTCTTTGTAGATTCTGGTTATTAACCCTTTATCTGTTGCATAGTTTGCAAATATTTTTTCCCATTCTGTTGGTTGTCTCTTCACTCTCCTGACTGTTTCTTTTGCAGTACAGAAACTTCTCAATTTGATGCAATCCCAATAGTTGATTTTGGCTTTGACTGCCTGTGCCTCCCGGGTCTTTTCCAGAAATTCTTTGCCTGTGCCAATATCTTGAAGGGTTTCTCCAATGTTCTCTAATAACTTAATGGTGTCAGGACGTAGATTTAGGTCTTTAATCCACGTTGAGTGGATTTTTGTGTAAGGTGTAAGGTAGGGGTCTTGCTTCATGCTTCTGCACGTGGAAATCCAGTTTTCCCAGCACCATTTATTGAATAGACTGTCCTTGCTCCAGGAATTAGTTTTAGATCCTTGATCAAATATAAGTTGGCTGTAGATGTTTGGATTGATTTCTGGTGTTTCAATTCTGTTCCATTGGTCTATCCATCTGTTTCTGTACCAGTACCATGCTGTTTTGATTACAACTGCCCTGTAGTATGTCCTGAAATCTGGTATTGTGATGCCTCCGGCTTTGTTTTTGTTGTACAAGATTGCTTTAGCTATTCGAGGTCTCTTGTGCCTCCATATGAATTTCAGCATCATTTTTTCTAGATCTGCGAAGAATGTCTTTGGTATCTTGATTGGGATTGCATTGAATCTATAAATTGCTTTTGGGAGAATGGACATTTTGATGATGTTGATTCTTCCAATCCATGAGCATGGAAGATTTTTCCATTTTTTGGTATCCTCTTCTATTTCTTTCTTTAAGGTTTTGTAATTTTCATCGTAGAGATCTTTAACGTCCTTGGTTAAGTTTATTCCAAGGTATTTGATTGTTTTTGTAGCTATTGTGAATGGGATTGATCTTAGCAGTTCTTTCTCAGTCATGGCATTACTTGTGTATACAAAGGCTGTTGATTTTTGTGCATTGATTTTATATCCTGCCACTTTGCCAAACTCCTCTATGAGTTCCAATAGTCTCTTAGTAGAGTTCTTTGGATCCTCTAAGTACAGAATCATATCGTCTGCAAAGAGGGATAGTTTGACTTCTTCCTTCTTGATTTGTATTCCTTTGATTTCTTTTTCTTGTCTGATGGCTCTGGCTAAAACTTCCAGAACTATGTTAAATAGCAGTGGTGAGAGTGGGCATCCCTGCCTGGTGCCAGATTTCAGTGGAAATGCTTCCAACTTTTCCCCATTCAATAGGATGCTGGCTGTGGGTTTTTTATAAATTGCTTTGATTATGAGATGCTTTTAAAATTTATGCATACAAAACTGATTTAACTTACAAATGCAATACCAAAAGTATTTTAAGTAATTACAGTAATCTGGTGTGTATGCTTTATATTTTTGGAAGAAATTAAGCTACTTGTTGAAAAATATTGAAATGAATAAAGAAGAAACTTATTCAATTCAAGATACTGTCTTAATACATGCTAAGAGAAATGCAAGTATAAAATCATTAATTCTGCCCAAAGGTGTGGTATATTGTAGTACAGCTTACATTGTAGTTTAGCAGATTTTGTTAGCCAAATTCATTGTGGAAAACTGGATGAAGGAGAAAAAGAGCCAAATTGTTTTATGTAGTTAATGGCATCATATATCTTTTTGTTAATAAAGGAAGAAATTGTTAGAAGTTATAAATTACCATAGGATTTTAGTAAACTAATTTAAGTAGCTGAATCTTAGTCTACTTAAAGAAATAGGCTTTTTTGTTGTTTATTTTTTAAGATTTAGTTTATTTATTTGAAAGGTAGAG